CTACTACTGCTACTACTACTACTACTACTACTACTGCTACTGCTACGGCTACTACTACTGCTGCTACTACTACTACTACTACTACTACTACTACTACTACGTACTACTACTGCTACTACTACTACTACTACTACTACTACTACTACTACTACTACTACTACTACTACTACTACTACTACTACTACTACTACTACTACTACTACTACTACTACTACCACTACTACTACTACTACTACTACTACTACCACTACTACTCCTAAGACGAGCACTACGACCGCTACTGCCACTTCCGCTGCTGCTGCTATTACGACTGCTACCGCCACTACTCGTGCTCCTGCTACCGCCGCTGCAGCCACCACTGCTAGTGCCACTACTACTGCCGCTGCTGCGAGGACTACTACTGGCACTGCACCTGCAAACTGCTACTATCCTGCGGCCGCCAGGGCGCGACACCGCGCTGCCCCCGTGCGCTTTCCGGAGAGCGCGGGACGGGTTGCCCCTCGGCGCATTGCCAGAAGGCGGAGCGCCTGCTGCCTTGTCTGTGTTGGAGGCGCCGTGCGCTCTGCTCCCAGCACCTCCCGGCCAGGGGATCCCTCACGAACCCTGTGGGAGAGCCCCCAGAAGGAACCCAGGAGGCCAGGCAATCCAGGAGAGTCCCAAAAGTGGGAGAATTGCTGCTGACGGGGAAATCACTGTAGATAGAATCCTGTGCAAGTAAAGCCGGTTAGAGTGACATTGAGCTGTGCTTACTGCAAAGTTCAGGGTTTTAGGCATATGAGCACCGTGCGTGAGGGACACGCTACGCGGGGCCCAGAAATCGCAAATTGCAGCTCCTGGGGGTCTCCTGAGGGCCCCCCTATAGGGCCCTCCTGCAAGGGAGGCGTTTGGCACAGAGTGGGCCACTATGTCAGACGCAGAAGCGCGCGTATTCCTCAAAGGCCTTGAGGGCCCCGTGCGCCCTGACGCCGCAAGCGTCAAGCCTCCCGAGAGCCTCATCGGAACCTTCGAGGCAGCCGCTGGGCACGCGCGCCCAGAGAGGTGCCCCACGCCTCAGGAGAGGCACAAATGTGAAAAACAAAAGCGCGCCACCGAGGAAGCCCACGCGTGTGTTCACAAGCCCTGTCGCATCTCGCTTTGCCAGGGAATTGTTGACACCGCGCATGCCCCCACCAGCAGCGATGCCCAAAGGAATTGAGGTGACCAGGGAAGTCTTTCGGGCGCTTCTTGTGGGCCTCGTGTGAGTAGGGGCCTATCGTCGCTGGGGAGTCCCAGGGGTCGTTCCGCGCTCTCAGGAACTCGGCACTCCGTGGGTCTTTTCAGGGCTCTCTCTCGGGGCCATTCTTGCGCCGACTTGCAGCTCCCAGATGGCCATCGGAGCCGAAGAAACGAGAAACCAAACATCATTCATTTCTTCAGGTCTTCGAGGGATTTTGGGTCTGCTGGGGGCCTCTGCGCAGGATTCAGCGACCCATTGGGGCAGGCATTTGGGACGCTACGTGGGCGCGCGCGTGCTGAGTGTTATGGAGCCATGTTCCTCGACGCTCGTCAGCAATGCCAGCGAAAAACGCAGCGCCCCCCCACGGGGGGGACGGGGGGGGGGCGGTGCCCGAAAACTTTAACCCTGTGGAGCGCCGCGCCTCTTCCGCCGTGGCGTTGACATGATCTCGGACAGTAGGACGGGGAGGCTGAAAGGGGGGATGGCGATGATGTGGTTGAGGATGTGGATGGGTGGGTGGGCGCAATCAGGATGATGATGGTGATGATATTGCTGGTAGCAGCGACGGCGATGGTGGCGCTAACGCCGATGGTGCTGAGGAGTGCGAGGAAGACGGGGGTGGCGATGTGCATGATGGAAGCGAAGGCAATGGCGATGGTGATGTTGGTGATTATGCTGCGCATGGTGATGATGATGGCGATTGTGATGGTGATGCTGATGGTGGTGCTGGTGATGGTGATATTGATGTTGTTGATGGGGATGCAGGTGGCGAGTGCGATTGTGATGGTGAGCGGTGCTGATGGCGCCGATCTGATGGTGGCAGTCTTGGTTGTGATGGCGGCTGCGACGGTGCTGGTGCCAGCGCCGACGATGAGGACACGCGCGCGTTGGGGGGTGCGTGTGAGGACGCGAATGCCGTTCTGCGACGCAAACTTGGAGACCACAGCGACCACCTGCGCGCAGGCCACTCCGTGGAATGTATTGCCGCAGGCCCGTCTTGCACCAACAACTGACTGCGTACAACATCATCACCATAACATTTGGCCCGGGGAACGTAGCCTTGCCCTCCACTGTTGTCGAGTACAGACTAAAGTGAGTAAGGTAAAAACTAATCAGAGCCCCTGCAGACTACAAGCTTTTGTGCGCCACAGGTTCAGGCTGCCAAAAGTTCTGGAAACAAGTTTTGCCCGCGCAAGCGCGCGCGCGCTCGAGGGCCCACCCGTGTGCCTGCCTGAAGTGCGCGCGAGCAGGAAATCGAGAACAGCTTTGGAAGAACGGCAAGCAGCAGCCCAGAAAAGGCTCCGCTCCCGCGCGCTTGTGAGCGGCGCGTCCGCATATGCGACCTGATAAGGGCCTGCGCTGCCGCGAGTGACTGAATGCAATTGTCGCACCGAGGCCGGGGCGTCCCCAGGGTGCGGGTAGCGCCGCGGGGGATGTGCCGAAGTGGAGGCGTCGCCTGCAGTGCGTTCTGCACCAGTGCCCCCCGCAGCCAATGTGCGCCCGCGAGCGCGGAGTAGCGCCCGCATTCGGCGCCGCAGGTGCGCGCCCCCGACGCTGGCGCTGGCCCCCTGTCGTCGCATGAGAGGCCAGCGGGGGTCCCCTTGGCGTTGCTTTCTGCGCGTGCTGGCTGTTTTCTCTGCGCTTTTCCGCGTCATTCCCAGTTGCAAGGGCAGGAATTGGAACTCTCGTGCCCCGGAAAATTTCTGCTGTGAATTGGCCCATGTTCCCCGACTGTAGATAGAGCTCGCTTTGTGCCTTTCCCTGCTTCCTCTTCAGCTCTTCCTCCAGCAGTCGTTTTGGTGCAGCGCGCGTAATCGCCTGCAGTCCAGCGCCCTAGCGGCGCGGCCCGCGGCCCCCCTGCGCGTCCTCGGCTCTGTTCTCCCCGATCTGGGTGCGCCCCCCTCCCAGCCAGCCCCCGCCGTTCGGGGCGTCTGCTGCAGGCCCGACCCTGCACTCGCCGAACCACGCCGAGTGTGGGGGGGGGGGGGGGGCGCGGCGTCGTCTGGCCCTGGCTGACTGTCCGCCCCTGGCGCGTGCGGCAGGGCGCGGGCAGCAGGCGCAGGCGAACGCCCCGTGCTCGGCGCTCGACAGCTGGGCGCGCTGGATGGACCTTTATTTGGGGGGGAAGCGTAAAGGGAACCAAGCCACAGCGGGCACCCAAGACAGGAGCATAGAGCGAAAATGTAATCACTGTAGACAACCTTATGCGCAAAGTAAAAGGGTTCACCTTATGGATGACAATGGAAAATCACCAAAGAGAGAGACCAGAAACTCGCAGTCCCATTCCGAAGGAGCCCCTGGTCCTTGTGAGGGGGTTTGTGTTTGGCGCCCGTGGCGCACCCCCCCCCCTGCCCAGAGGCCGCGCCCCGCAACGAGAGAGAGAGAGAGAGAGAGAGAGAGAGACACAAAAAAAAACAGAAAGAGAAAGAGAAACAGGGAGAGAGAGAATAGAGATAGGGAGAGGGAAGAAACGCGAGAAAAAAAGGGGGGGGAGAGAGAGAGAGAGAGAGAGAGAGAGAGAGAGAGGGAGAGAGAGAGAGAGAGATAAACAAAACAAGGGAAGAAAGAGGAATAGAGAGAGAGGGATAGAGAAAATAAAGAAACAAAGAAAGAAAGCAAGCAACAAAAAGAGAGAGAAAGAGAAATATATATAGAGAGAGAGAGAGCTTTAGAGAGAAAGATGCACACACACACACTCACTTATTGATTTGGTTACCCATGCGGGCGGGCGCTCACCCCAGGAGAGGCAGGCAGCTGAGAAGAACACCTAGAGATAAGAAGTTGCGGGTTTGCCTGACAGGTAAGTGGAAGAAGGGCGCGCCGGCCAAGTGGGGGAACAGTTCCACGGCAAGTGGGGGCGCTCTCGGGGGGGGCTAGGTGGAAGAACGGTTCGCCCGCTAAGTGGAAGAACGGCCCGGCTATGGGAGGGAGCATAAGGGGAGAGCGGGGACGTGGAGGGAGGGAGAGGGAGGGGTGGGAGGGGGGGAACTAGGAACTGGCGGAAGGGGGCAGGGGGGGGGTGGGGGGGGCGGGGGGGAGTGTCGCAAAGGAGAGGAGAGGGGCCAGGAGGAGGGAGGTTAGGGGAGCAAGGGGCGGGGGATGATGGGTGGAAGAGGGGAGGGATGGGAACAGAAGTGAGAGGCCCCAAGGAGGGAAGGGAGGAGGAGGAAGGGGGCAGGGACCACGAGAAAGCAGGACGGGGGATCTGATGAGGGATGCCCAGGTGAGGATGGCAGGGGGAGGGGGACACGGACGGTGATGCGAGGAGGGGAGAGGAAATCTCAGGGAGAGGGCGGGGAGAGGGGAGAGGAACGGTAAACGTGTGGAGAGGGGGAACGAAGGCAGCGGGAGAAGGGCAAACGGGAGGAGCGAAATCGGGAGGCGGAGAGGGTCCGAGGATCCAGCCCCGATGGTTCGCGCGAGGCCCCGGCGGACAGGACGCCTCCTGGAGGAGAGATCGGCTGAGACCCGGTGGGCTCCCTTGGGACCCCCTCTGAGGTCCACGGCGTTCCAGAGGCTCCCCCCCTACTGTTATCATCCCCCTTCCCGCCTCCTTCTCTCCTCCCCTCTGCCCATCCCTCGTTTCTCTCCTCCTCCTTCCCCTCCTCCTCCTCCTCCTCCTCCTCCTCCTCCTCCTCCTCCTCCTCCATCTTATCCTCTTCCGCCCTCTCCGCTTCCCGCTTCCCCCTCCCCGCTCCACCTTTGCCCATGCAGCTGTCTCGCCCTTCCTTCCGAGGGCGAGCTGCGCCGCCGCAGCGTGACCCCCGAGCAGTCCGAGGCGCTCATGGACGCCATCTCGCAGCTGATGGTGCAGGCCGGGGCTGCCAGACACCGCCGCCGCCGTGTCGAAAGCGTCTTGGGGGTGACATTTGGGCCGTCATTGGGCGTTTGGCCGGGGTCTGGGGACGCTGGAGGCCATCCTGGACCGTCTTGGGGGTCTCTTGGGACCGCCGCCGACCCCTTTGCACGGCTTGGCAGGGACTTCCAGAGGCCCGGACATCTCGTGGCACCTTCTGAGGGGGCGTCCGGGAGCCTCGCATCCCGGGGGCTCCGTTTTGGGGGGGGGCAGGGTTCCCGCAGGGTCCGGATGAGTATTCATGTATACATGTGTATATGTACATTTATAAGCAATACATGCATATATATATTATATATATATATATATATATATATATATATATATATATATACATACACATATTTATAAAGTGTTTATACATATATAAATATATGTGTATGTATATATACAGATGTAGATATGGGAATGTATGTATGTGTGTGTACATATATGTGTGTATGTATTATGATCTGTATGTGGGGCGTTCTAGAAAGGGCCTCGCCTTCGAGGATCGAAGGAGCTGCCATCTCGTCCCCAGCCGAAGGCCGGCGGGGGGCCGCCGAGAGGCAGCGGAAGCAGAGCGAGGCCGCCTCCACCAGCGGCGGCAACCGGCCCCTCCCCACGGCGTTCCGACCCCCCCCCCCCGTCCCCAGACCCCCGACGTCGTGATTTTTTCACAGCGTCGACCCCCAGAGGTCTGGACCCCTTCCCCGTGACCGGCTTTTCATCCTGAGTCGTTTTTTGACGGTCTCGGGGCCCGGTGAGCGCCCCGGGAGGCAGAAAATAGCAAAAAACTTCCCGTCGTGATTTTTTCACAGCTCGGGGGGGTCTGGGTCCGTGGTATTCCAGCCAACCCACCCGTGGCACTCTCCCCTGGTGTTCTCCGCTTCCCTTGCACCTCGCGGGCGCGGGGTGGTCGCGCCGTTCGCCGGGCCCCAGGTCGAGGAGGCCAACGCCCTGTGCGGCGAGCTGGCGAGGGCGCTGCCTTCCATGCTCCCCGTGGAGCTGGACCGCGGGGCGGGGGAATATGAATAGGAATAGCAACACGACGATGTCCACAAGAGAGCGCTACCCCCCGATGCTCCGCCGCGCGGCCCGCTCAGCTGCGCTTTAAAGGCTTGGGGAGCACTCCTCGATGAAAAAGCGGTCGAGATACGAACGCCTGGTATCATTGAGGGGTTCGGCACCAAGACACTCCTGCCTGAGCCCAGTTTGCAGGTTCGGGCCGCGGGGCGGGGGAGGAGCCCCCGAGGAGGGGCAGGCGGCAGCGGCGGAACTCCGCGTCGGCAGCGGTCCTCGGGGGGCAGTCCTGCTGAAGGCGCGGGGCCTCGAGTAGGAGTCTCCGCCGGGGGAGGGGGGAGGAGGGAGAGGGGGGGAGTGGGCGGAGATTCTGGGCCCGTGCGCGACGGCTGCGCACGCCGAGGTGCCGAGGTGCGTCAAGCTTGAGGGGCGTGCGCGAAGGTCGCTGCTTGCGGCGGCTGTGAGGTGGCCGTGCAGTGGCAGCCCATGGTCGCAGTCGGCCCCCCTTCGCCGTGAGGCTGTCAGGATCTGCGGCTCGCCGTGCTCATGATCAAAACGGCCCTGAGCATGCCGATTGCCATCAACAATAGAGACCGGCTGGGCTATGCTGGACGCGGCGCCCGCGCAGTGCCGGCCCTGCGGCCCCGCGCGGAGCAGGGCGGCGGGCCGGGGGCCAGGCGGCGGCGGCGGGTAGCCTGCTCCATCTTCCTCATTTGTGCATGTGTTTTGTTGGATTCATGGTGGAACTGCGAGAGAGAGAGAGAGAGTCCTCGCAGAGGTGGAAGGGAAGTATCCACCTGAGCTTCCAGCAAGGAGTATGAAGCCCTCCGCAGGCGCTGTTCTTGTTCTTACAGAAATATTGAATGACAAACCCGCGGCTGGCGTTGCACATCAATGAACATCAATGGCCATCAAGATGATCTGGCCATCAGTGGATATCAAAAACCCGCCGCAGGCGCCGAGTTCTTCCCAGCATCACATTACTGGACATGTGTGCCAGCGTGGGCCACAATTCTTGCACCCTGGATGTGGAAGATCTGGAGTGCGCAAGTAGCATCTACATCGACTATGAACGTACACGGGTTCGTCTCCGGGGGCTAGTGCTGGACGCCAGCTACTCACGCAGCGTTTCCCACTCGGCTGTTTCCAAAGGCGGGGCTGGACGCCACAGCAGACCACGACAGAGCCAGCCAGTACAGAATACGATCCCGCAGAGAAATGTACACACATGCATGAGTCGGAACAGGAGGGTGTGCCAACGGACTGGAAGGCAGTACAAATGATGCGACATCATCATTGGCAGCTATTGCTTCTACGTCCCATGTTGCAGCAGTGGGGAAGACATGCCACATAGAAATACACCACAGCTGTGCAGGGGTGGCTTGCGACGAAGATGATCTCGAATCGTGGAGAATGTCTCCCGTGCGTATCCGGATGCGCGGCCACGGCTGAGACACTTGCTTACACCGGCTTGGACATAGACAGCAGGCTGGACGGTGCGCACGAAGGTCGCGAGTATTCTGAGAGCGGCAGCGACATTCAGACTAAATTTGCAGTCTGGGACACCATAGTCTGATCAGCACCTCTTCCAACTCTTCCTCCTCTCATCCCCCTTACAGTCGGGGCCCTGAAGAAGGAACCCTTTTCGTTGGGGAGGGGCTCCGCGTTCCTTAAGTGTTTCACAGCTTGCCTCAGGTTTTCCTTACATTTTCAATAGGAAATCGAAATTCAACTTCTGGAAAAAAGGGGCCTCGTTCCTCATTTGGGGTTCCTTGGGTCAACGCCCCGACTGTAGTCTGATCAGCACCTCTTCCAACTCTTCCTCCTCTCATCCCCCTTTATGCTGTTTCCCTCTGCCACGTGCCGCAGCCGGGCCGCCGTGCAGTCGACGACGGCGCCTGCTCCGGCCGGCCTGAGCGGAGGTCTTGGCCGTGTCGGCTACGCTGTCAGGCATGAGGGCGATGCCTGGCAGCGCCTGCAGCGGGCGCTCGGACTGGAACGGCGCAGGCGTTGGGGAGCTCAGGCATCAAGCAGAGGAATGAGCTCGGTGTTTCTGTCCTCTGGGGCACTCGGCGGCCAGGACAGACCGAGAGGGGCCAATGAGGGCACCAATGCAACCCAAGGTGGTTCCAGGTGCCCTCAGGACTGGCGACAAGGAAGCGAATGCGACTCTGGTGGCTCCAACGAAGCGGTGCCAACAGAGGCCCAAGACAGAAACTTCACGGGAGTCTCCAAGACGCTCCTCGGGGGGGCGCAATCAGGCAATGCCGCCGAGATCCGGACAGTTGTCGCGCGGTCTCAGCGTCTCCGGTTCTCGGGCCCAGCATGGTGTCAAGAGTTTTTCAGGGGGCCCAAGGCCCAAGAGCGGCCCCAGGAGTTCCAAGAGCACCCAGAGCAGCCCCAAGAATCCCCAGAACCCAGCCCGATACGATAATCCCCAGAACCGAGAGCACCCAAGGGGGCCCAGGGCCCAGAGCAGCCCAGGAGGCCCCAGGAGCAGCCACGGGGACCACGGGCGCCGCTGCTGCCCAGGCACCGGCCCTGGGCCCAGGCGGGCGCTGGGCCGCCCCTGGAGGCGGGCGTTTGGGAGCCGAGCGCGCAGGGGGCGGAATACATATATATATATATATATATATATATATATAAATATATATATATATATATATATATATATATATATACCGGGGGGCCCGGTCCGGGGCGGCCCGCCCAGTGACCTCGCCAGCGCGTGGGGGGCCCGGGGCCTCACTTTCCTTGTGTTTTTACAGGTTTTGGCGATTTGGAGCAAACCTGGGCTCCAAGAGACCCCCTCGTCGCTCCAAGAAACTTTGGCGGCCCTTGAGATAGCACAAAAACGGCCCAAGAGGCCTGCTAGCGAGTCCCAAGATGCCAGGAACGGCACAATATACCACCAAGATGGCACAAGGAACGGTCTCTGAGAGCCTCGAATCCAACTCCCCGGCGAGGAGTTCGCTTTCGGAGTCCCGCATGAGCCGTCTTGGGGCCCCAGACGGCCCATAACAGAGCCCTGGAAGCCTCAAAGACGGCCAAGGCGGCCCCACGAACGTGTCCTCCCTGGTGCTCCTTGAGGCATTCGTGGTGCTCAACGGTGACGCACCTAACCCGACAACCGCATCGGCTGATCGCGAACATTCATGCGCCGCATCTGGGTAGATCGTGGTCCAGAATCACGACACTGTGACTGAAGCAACTTCGACCTCTCATTCGAAAAGGGCACCCCATGGGAGACCAGCTGCAACTCCAGGGGCCGCGGTGTGCGTATGAACCCGGGCTGCCTTCGTTAGGAGGCCACGGGGGCAGGATGACACGGAGGAGGGGGAGGAGGAGGACGAGGAAGACGAAGAGAAGGAGGAGGAGCAGGAGGGGGAGAAGCAGGAGGGGGGCAACAGGAGGGGAAAGGCGGGGAGGGGGAGGAGCAGGGAGGAGGAGGAGGAGGAGGAGAAGCAGAAGAAGCAGAAGCAGCAGAGAAGAGGATGCGCAGAGGAGGAGGAGAAGGGGGAGAAGGAGGAGGAGGAGGAGGAGGAGGCGGAGGAGGCCATGGAACGGGGGCAAGGGGGGCCCAGAGCTGCCAGCAGAGGGGCTTTTCGGGGAGGCCTTCTCCAGGGAGGCCTCCTCCAGGGGGCCTCCAGAGGGGGTCTCCAGGGAAGCCTCCAGGAGGAGGAGGAAGAGAAAGGAAGAGGATGAGGAGGAGGAGGAAGAGGAAGAGGAGGAAGAGGAGGAGGAGAAGGAGCCTCCATCTCCTCCTGCTGCTGTTGCTGCTGCTGCTGTTGCTGCTGCTGCTGCTGCTTCTGCTGCTCCTCCTCCTTCTCCTCCTCCTGCTCCTCCTCCTCATCCTGCTGCTGCTCCTCCTCCTCCTCCTCCCCCTCCCCCTCCTCCTCCTCCTCCTCCTCCTCCTCCCCCCCCCCCCCCCCTCCTGGCGAACAGCGACCGCCGGCCTCGGCCGTGCGCAGCAGGCGGGCGGAGCCAGCATCCACGAAAGCACCTCCAGGGGAGAAGTGTCTCCCAGGGGGGGGGGGGGGGGGCCTCCAGGGAGGCACCCAGTGGAAGCAGGAGGAGGAGGAGGAGGAGAAGGAGGGAGAGGAAGAGCTATCTTGGGCTGCTGCTGGAATAGCCTTGGCCGTGCTTGAGCAGTGTAAGGCTGTGTTACGGGCTGTCTTGGGTCCCAAGACGATTCATGGAGGACCCCAAGACGGCTCCAAACGGCGTAAGACGGGACAGGAACGCCCTAAGACGGCCAAAGAGACCCCAAGAAGCCCACAAAGCCCCCAAGAGGCCCAAGGAGGCCCCCGATATGCTTCCAAGAGGCCTCGTACAGGCCCCCAAGTATCTCCCAACAGACCCCAAGGGTGCCCCGAGAGACTCCTAACAACCCTCATCCTCCTACTTTCCCGCTTCCTCTCATCCTGTTCCTGTTCATTCTCCCCCAAGGGCAGTGTTCCCCGAAAGCTTTCAAAACCGACTCGGGGAACTCATGCTCCGATACCTTTGCCAAGCTCTAGCCCAAACTTCGGCCACATCGGCGCTTCCAGAAAGGCAGGGGGCGGCGGTGATTCGCCGTAGGCGTCTTCGATAAAAATAGAAAGGGATAATGAATGATTCAGTACCCAGGGCATTCAGATATGTTTTCACCGTTTCAGTACCACGCATACTCCGTTGTCCGAGCCGCCTGCGCAACGCCGCCTGGCGAATCGCCTCTCACCGGCGGCTTGCGTAAATGAATCTCCGCGCGCATGCACTGAGACGATCAATATCGGTGGCGCAGGCCAATGCACTGTCAAGAGCAGCTGTCGCGGTACTATCGTATCTGGGTTCCCACTTGCAGGTCCGGTGCATGGCGACGCCGGGATGCCGCGCACCCTTGTGATCGAAAGCGCATGCGCCCATGTCTCGCGAAACAAACGCTTGCGCTGTGCTTAGCAAAAGGGACCCTCCATCTGATGCCAGTGCTTTGTCACAATTTTGTTTTG